ACATGAATTTGGTTTTTGCCTCACTTGTGACAGTTCGTTTGATATGAAACTATCATTCTAATGCGTTATTATTCTAAGTTAAATACCTTATTTTTAATTTTACAAAGAAAACATTCCAATTTACGCTATATTAAGTTTTACAAATTATTTTATCGAATGAATTTTTATTTCATAGAAATTAGATTTTTAGGATTAAATCCGGAAAAATAGTTTCATTTCCTATGTGTAACAATCGCGAAAACCTAAGAACTTGATATCCACAGTTAAGAACAGCGCACAAAATGTACAATGTCCTGAGAATAAGCAATCTTGCACAGAGGTCTTTGTTCTACGGATGAGTCGAAATGTTTGACTCAAACGAAGAGTGAGAAGGCGAACCGTGTCGTGAGTTGGGACTTCACGTGAGAGTGAATGAGACAAAACAATAATATTGTCAGTGCTATGTGAATAATTTCTAAAATTATAGAGATAAAGTCGAATATTGCGCGCATGAACAATGAAACTCTAAAATGAGCGTTATTTAGAAGCTAGTAACTTATCGATCGATCACCATCGACACACTTCTGCTTTTTACTAAATGGAGATTAAATGATGCACTATACTCCCGCGACGTAAGGCTATACTGACGTACTTTTAGAGCACAAGAAGTGAAAACGACGTTATGCGTTCCGCGTCAGCAGCGGTCTTTTTCGCTCTTATTGCAAAGGCATGAAACTTTCTCTGTCCGGCTCAAGCCTCTTACTTAACTCACTCGTAGAGAGTGAATATTATTCGGGAATAAGTGTAAATTATGACTTACCCTAACGACGCGCGCTTGATTGTAGTGGCATTGGTCTGCAGTAAAATTCGAGCTGTCGACGTGCCTATTACACCTCCAGTTCGCCAACTGAAAAATTCGTATGCGTATGCGTGCACTAGGCTTTTGGTTTTGTTATAGCGTAAGGGCGAGCCAAACCGGCGGACGGGAAAGTAGAGGACATTGAATTTATAAATGTAACTTTAATTGGTATAAAGTGTACATTCCAATGCTCTGAAACCGGCCTCGGAGTACGTTAGAGGATATCCACCGAAATGCGCCGAGATCCACCGGCATGTGCCGGTGTCTAGCAGCAGTAGAGCTCCTCGTCTAGGGAAATACTGCCACCTTACCTATTTCTGCCGCCAAGCAGTCACGTGAGCATGTGCACGTGCGTTCCGGTTTCGAAGAAAGTACAGTCACACGGGACTTGTCAACTTATGTCTCAGGCGCCATCAGGTACACTTTTTTTTTATATACATACATATAATACCAAGTGACTGGGTGTGCGCCGGGTGCCAAAGATCTTACGAACAATGTCACTGCACCCGTCACCCTGAGACGTACATAAGTGGACAAGTCCCATGTGCCTGTAATTTCACCAGCACCCTTACCCTTAAAAACCGGAACGCTGTGATGCTTACATTACTGCTTGGAGGCAGAAATAGGTAAGGTGGCACTTCCCTGGACCAACTCTTTCACAAGGTGCTCTACTGCTACTATATATACTAGTACAAGTGTATTTTGCTCACTTACTTGGTTAAAGTGTCGCTACCTCTTCTATAGAAGTCAGGACGTTTCCCGTCTCCCATCCTGTTAGGGCAACTGCTAAGTCGCCGGTCGTCGTCCAAGTTCACTTTTCTCATGAACGGAGTCCTCGGTTTGTTCTTTGCGGTTTGCTTTTCATTGAAATCTGTGTTGGAATGTTCTTCGATGCTCGGCAGCCTCGGGTTCAGGCCACAGTCCCCGCTGTCGTAAACTTTGTACATGGGCTTTTTCACACAAAACGTCCCGCTCATCGGTCTATTCATCATACATAACCTCGGGTTCTCCAATGACTGGTTTCTCGACTTCATGACTACATTTCGGACATTTTTCGCCTGGTCGACTTGAATTTCCGGAGCTTTAAAAGGCATTGATATTTTCGGTTGTGGAGTATTTAAACTGTCTTTCACGAGATGAGGCGTTGCTGCGTTGTTCCCTCGCATCTGTGTTCCGTTCATTCTCGATTCGTTCTGTATTGGAGGTGGTTCAATTTGCTGAGGTTTTGGAGCGACCAGTCCATTCTGTATCCGCACTTTTTGGGAAGAGGGTGTGAATATCATTTTCCGCTGTGGTAGCCCGTTGGAGGCGGGTGGAAGGGCCTTGCTGCTGGATGGTGTAGTATCCTGCCGCAACTCGTACGTGGTTCGATATTCCGGGGGGGACGCGGGTCTAGTTTCTTGGACATTGGTCGTCCACAGTAGGTCCATGCCCGGTACATTTTGGATCTGTTGGAGGTGAGTTTTGATGTTGTACATACCGGCGACAGTGCCGAATGGATCGGCTTTTATCTGGGCTATCACATCCGTGACGGGTTGACCGCATAGATCTGATATTTGTCTGTAAACCTAAAAAAAATTTTATTGCTACTATCGATAAAGATCTTTTAAGGACAGGTTTGTAAAGAGCAGCATTACTTCTTTGTTGACTTTGGGCTCCAGTGGGAGCAGCGGGTGCACTCTCATGCGCATGCCGGGTCGTTTAACCCAGCGGTGGCGCGCCGCCTCCTCGATCTTCATCCTTTGTTCCACGTTCGGCTCTAGTAGCTGCTGCACGAATGTCTTGCATTCTACCATGTGCATATCATATTATTTTAGTTCTATTCGAGTGATTTCCTAAACAATAACTGTATGATAATGAAATTTTCGTCTGTTACATTTCTTTTTTTGGTTATAAGTAAATTAACAAACCGTGGAATTGTTTTTTCAATTCAATTTTCTGGCGCATGCAGTATTTTATTTTTGATTAAACCATTACTGTAATTTTTTAATTTATTGAATCTCACGAAGTTTCACTACCGTGATATTTAATTATATTTTTTGTGAAATTCATTATCACAGTGGCGTTACTAAACAAGAAAAAAAGACAACATCTGCAACAAACACAGAAAAAATCATGGCCTTATTAATAGTGGCGGCGGGCGTAAATAAATGTGCGCGCGGGTGCGAGTAAATGAAATGTATGTACGTAGACTTACGCTCGTTGCGTTCACATAGGCCGCGCATACCTGTGTCGAGGCGAGCCGGCGCCGGTGGATCTGTTGGCTCTGCCCGCCCGTACCATTCGCAGTGCTTGGTTTAGCGTATGTTTGCAACTTCGACGTGTCTAATCTAACGGTTTTAGTCGCTTCCGCAACGTGAAAGGGAAGACGCCAAGACTCACACGCTCGCACCCGTCGCCACGTCCGCGCCTGCACTCGGAATGAGCCCACAAGGTCTGCTGGTTTGCTCCGTGGCTTAACGGGCAGAGCATCTGGTACGGAATGCCTAAGAGTGCTGGTTCGAATCGAATAAGTGTTCGATCCTTGTTATTAATAAATCATTATACTAGTTTTTCTATCTTTTTTAGTCGGCTATAGTAACTCGATTAGGTACCGTTAGTGACGCACGTGAGTGCGACACGTTGCTTGCGCGTGAAGCCGCGCGAGATGGCGGCTCGCAGGTTTGGGCGCGAGCGACCCTCGCCGCCGCCCGCGCCCACGGTGCCTTCGTCCGTGAACGGCAGCCCGCCCGTCACCATACCGTACACGATCACGCCACTGCAATGACATGTAGTTTGTACACTTTATTTACGAAAAATACGATTTTGGGTTGGTCGAATAGGCAGGTAGTTATTGCGGACTCTCAGAAACAATATGAATAGTATTAGATTGGATGGCCCACACAACACCCTAATTTGGAATTTTACAGTAGAACCACGTTCGTATTAGCACCCAAATTATTTATTAAATTACCGGACGCCGTTAAATAATTCATTAGGTACTCAATGCAATATAACATTATTGATAATTTTTTCTTGATAACAGTGTAAAATAAAATATTTTATTATATTAATTATATATTTTGGTGAAATGTACCTACGATCTAATACACCAAATACTTATACTGACTATAACACATGCATTGTTAACTAAATTCTTCAGCGAATAAATATCTTGTAGGCTTTCTTGTATTCTTGATTTAGTGGAAAGCACTTACATACTCCAAAGGTCGACTTCGGGCCCGTACCGCCGACCGTCGACGAAGAGCTCCGGTGCGGCGTACTCCAACGAGCCGCACGGCGTCCGCAGAGCTCCGTTCGCGCTCCACACGTTCGACAAACCGAAATCTGCGACAGAACAGGTGAAATCGGTTAACGTCGACAGGCAAAATCCGAAACGAGGAAGAAGCCGAGAATACTCGCCCACTATCTTGATAAACTGCTTCGTGCTGTCCAGCATGATGTTCTCCATTTTCAAATCCCTGGAAGAGGAGACGAAGTCAAAGCGGGGGAACGAACGCCGCGTCTACCTTACGTGGAGTGGTCGGCAGCGAAGGGCCAGCGGTGAGGGGACAGTAAGACGGCACTGACCGGTGCACGACGCCGCGCGCGTGCATGTGCCGCACGGCGGAGACCAGCTGCGCGGCCAGCGCGCGCGCACGGGCCTCGGGCAGGCCGCGCGCCGTGCCCCGCGCCGCCAGCACGTGCGCGCACAGGTCGCCGCCTGCGGCCGCCTCCATCACCACGTACAGCCGCGGGCCGTGCTGCAATATCACGCTCACGATAGAGCACCTGGATGCCCGGATGCCTGTGCCGTTATTTCTTGTATGAAAGCCGCGTAGGAATTTCGGAACTGTGCTTTTCAGTGTCGGAAAGGGAGCGTGCCTTACAGCTCCCCCACCAATGAGTAAATTTGGTAGTCGACTTAGATTCGCGGCTCCGCGGTGGCAACCGTTAATTGTGCAGAGCGCAGCGGGAAGTGTGCGCTTACAGCTCCGGTATCTATCTGGAAAATATGGAGGGTGCTGTATGTGCACCTGGGGCGGCTCAACTAAGGCCTTTTGAAACTGGATGAAGTCCGTGCATTTGTACGATTCGTGATCTGGGGTCAGGACCTGACTCAAGTGGTCCCTGTACAGGCTTGCTCGAACAAGTTATGATGCCCTTCCCGCATAAGCCAGAGGTTGATAAGGAATGGCAGTATAAACTAAACTTGTGAAGAAAGATATGGGGGCTGATACTGGGAGCCTATGCACACGGCGTATTTATATACGCGCCGACGACGCGCAGACGACGCGCGTTAACGCAATACAAACGCGACGCAGTCGCAGCGAGTAAACCTTTGCACACATTCACAAATTCAGTGGCGCCGTAAACGCGCGTCATCTGCGCGTATACGCGCCGAAGACGCGCTGGCGCGCGTATGTATTGCGCATTTTAATAAGAGGTAGTTTTAATTATAGTCTTGTTTGTAATTTCAAATAGTCTTGAAATGAAGCAGTTAAAAAAATATAAAAGCACGCACGCTGCGTCTTTTTAAACATATATAAAAGTATGCACGCTGCGTCTTTTTAACATATATTATAATTGATTTAAGAGAAATCACTTAGTAATTGTAGTAAATCATTAGTACTTGGTTTTGGGAGTTTAATTTGCATGCATTGCACTAGACACCAAGTGTGAAAATGAAAAAACATCACAGAAAAAGTTGTTTTCAACGTGACATTCTAAGTGTAAACTTCAGTGGAGCATATAAGTTTTCTGCTTGCAACGCGATGTTCGGTACGCAACTCTCGTACGCATACCTATAGCGTTTTACACGCGTTTTACACGCGATACAAATGCAACAATCTGCCCTTTGAGCCTCTACGCGCCGTAAATACGCGTACGTGAAACGCGCGTCATCGGCGCGTAATAAGAGCCTATGCACGCGGCGTATTTTATACGTGACGACGATTTACGGCCATCTGCGCGTATACGCACCGCAGATGCGCTTTAGTGAATCGATTCAAACGCGCGCAGACATCGCGTCGCAAGCAAGAAGCTTATTATAATACTCCACTGGAGTTTACACTTAGAATTTCATGTACTTGCTTCATTTAAAAAACTAACTGAAATTAACAAACAATTAACTAAAATTTCAAGTATCTCTTATGAAAATGCTCGATACATACGCGCGAATGCAGCGCGGCTGCGGCGCTTATACGCACAGATGACGCGAGTTTACGGCGCGTATAAAATACGCTGTGTGCATAGGCTCCAAGAATATTGCACGCCAGTTACCTACGCGCGTATTTTAAACTCTAGCTTCTATTTTAAACTCTGATGCTTCTGGACGTGATATACATATAAGGGCTAAGGCCGGACGCGGCGGCGGTGCGGGTCTTCCCTTTCACAGTGCCGAAGCGGCTACAAACGGGTAGATCCACACATTGAAATCGTAAACAGACGCTAGATGCCAGACCAAGCATTGTGAACGGTATGGGCGGACCGAGCCAAAGTCAAAGTCAAAGATTATTTATTCCATAGGTAAAATAAATTTACACTTGAAATCGTCACATTTAAGCTACTGCTCGTTCACTACGCTGACCTCCCTGAGAAGAACGAGCAAGAAACTCTAGGGATTGCTCTTTTCAAATATGCTATGGAATACACTTTGAATCAAATTTGTGTGGATTCTGGAGCCATGTCGTCTTTCCATACATCTTTATCTAACACGTAGTCTTCAATTTTGTAATATGATTTTTCGATCAAAATATTTTTAATGTAGTTTTTAAACTTAGGAAATGATAAACTTAATATATGCTCCGGAATCTTATTGTAAAAACGTATACAGTTCCCCATAAAAGAGTTGTTTACCTTGGTTAAACGAAATCTGAAATGAAACTATTTTTCCGGATTTAAATCGCGTATATTTGTTTTTTCAAACAAACCGACGTTTCGGGCCCTTTACAGGTCCCATGGTCACGGTTGACTGATTTAAATCCGGAAAAATAGTTTCATTTCCTATGTGTAACAATCGCGAAAACCTAAGAACTCGATACCAATAAATAAATTTAAAGCCAATAGATCTACCCGCACGGCGCGTGCTCCTGCGTCCGAGTCAGGTCGCCGCCCGGCGCGCGCGGCCTCTGTGATCGCATAGAGCCTATACGTACATTAGATTTACACGCACCCGCGCCCGCCGCTACTCTGAATAAGGCCTAAGCGTCCAGTACCTCGCTGACGCGCGTATGAATACGCGCGAGACAACACGCAGCGAATTTGGTCTTTCTGGACAAGTTCTACAATATGCCGCGTGCATAGGCTCTAGAAATTATATATAATAGGTAGTTACAAGATTCGAACCATCATCGTTTCGTAGAGCGCAGCAATGCAGGGGTGGCGCAGCTTTGACATTACTCTGGGTTCCCGGTGCAGGTTACGTCGAGCATATTCCTCTTTGATGCATGTAAGGTCGATTATCTTGATCGCCACCTGCGCGTTTTTATTCGTCGATTATTCATTAACAGATTGACAGACGTGAGATGCGTCCTGCTCAGTAGCTTGGCGAATATGACAACAGAATCTTAAACAAGCGATGTCTTTGGTGGAATTATTCCAATTTTTACCTTTTTCCCTATTATTCTATGTGTTGCCTCCTCGACCCTTGCGAAATGACCTTTGCCGAATACTTTGCCGGTCATCAGGTAATTTCCGACACTGTACACTTGTCCCCTACTTCGAGTTGTATTATTAGCACTCTTCATGGTAGAACTTTACACTTAATTTTGAGTCATAGTTTGGTAGTTGTAAGTATTTTTAAAACGCGAACGTATCTATTATTGTATAAAACAGCAAGTTTCTTCACACAATAACAGTTAATTATAAACGTCATAATATTGGTTCAGTGTTTGGGAACCATCTTTTGTTTGTACCTTTGAATTTGGAACAGGGCTAGCGCCAACGCTGACATTTAGTGCACCTATTTTCGTCGGCCTCTTGCATCGCCAGTGTATTGACATCGAAGAGATTTGTTTTATCAAAATCAGTTTAAGGTTATATTTTTTTAAGTTTATTGGAAAACCTTTACCGCATTTTAACTTCCTTTATTTTTTTCCATCCTCTAAGATTTTAATCGGCTTCATCTGTCGTAGTACTTAGTGCACAAAACTACGTTATGAACTTTCGTTTCACGTCAGCTCGAGTTAGATTTGTAAAATAGTTGCTATTAATTGTAGTTAACAGCGAAAGATGGCGAAAATCTGTAGGAAATACCTACCTTGGTAATAAACGCGAACCATCGGAAGTTGCATCTAAATTGCATACGATGATCATGTGTACTTTAAACATTCCTTCCGTTCGTTCCCTGGGCGGTTACCTGCATTAGGTATGAATGGTATGATGGAACATCTCTATGTTCTGTACTTGCATCTACTGACTGACTCATTACGAAATTCACGCCTACCTAGACGGGAATTTCAAATTTGCATTGTAACGAAACTTCTAGAGTTATTTTTGTCACATGGGTTGCATTTCAAGTGTATCATAATGGACAAATTGTAGTCAGAATGCAATTTGAAGGTGCTCATATAGGGTATCTAGTCCAACGCGACGTACACCCGCGACGACTCACGTCATTATTTTCGTAAAATCCGTCCGAATTTCGTACAATATCTAATGCCGGGCACGTAGGGCTGTTCACGAGTCGCTCGCTTGCACCGGCCGCTTCTTTTGCGTTGTGAGAGTTTGAAAACTTGATATTTCCACGCAAGCAACAAAGAACATTTGCGGAGGACAGCACCACTGGCCAATCATAGAGCAGCAGATGGTTCGAGAGTGTCGACAATCCAAAAAAAGGCAAGGCACCGCGCAAGTCTCTGCAACGCAAAGCGGAAAACTCGTGAACGTCTTTGCGCGGAAGGCAGATTTCTACGCCGTGTACGCAGCCAACGCAAGCAAGCGAAAAACGCTAGTGATAGACTCGTGAACCCGGCATAAATGTTCCTGTCTACGTCAGCATATCGAGCTTTCGAACAAATGTAAACTTGATGTGCTCATTGTACATATTACTCATATTATATTTTGCAAGTTAAAGTGTAAAAAAACGGTGAAAATGAATACAAAGATATTAACTAAATATGTGAGTAACCCGTTCTTTTTAGTTAATACTTCTGTCTCACGTGGTTTTCTATTTAAAAATGAATACTTACAAAGGTTGATTTAAACATTATTTTGGTGTTTTTTAAACTCGGAAAATGGCGAGCCATATTTTTTCTAAACATTTGTTTGCTTTTATATATTATACATTATTTAAAGTATTTATTTAAATAAAAATTTGCTTTTTATATATTTTTTAAAGTATTTATTTAAATAAAAATATCATGAGGGGTAAAGTGGCATACCTTAGTGGTCGAAAAGGCTCGAGCCTTTTAGCCCTAAATTTAAAGCTTGCGAGTCTTTTTTAAAGGCGGACTCACAAAAGAGTTCGAAAAGGCTCGAGCCTTTTAGAACTAAATTTAAAGCGTGCGAGCCATTTTTAAAGGCGGACTCACAAATCAGTAGTTCTAAAATTGCTCACTATAAAAGGGTTTGAGGCTTTCTTAGGCCGAGGCTTTTTTTAAAGCCTTTTTAGAAGACTGGCGTTAGCGGTCAAAAAGGCTCGAGCTTTTTAGCCTTTTTTTAAGACGTGAGTCGCTTTATAGTGATGGCTACAATATTAATAATAATAAATGGATAATAATAAATATGTCACTACATATTCACACAACGCTATCTAGTCCCAAAGTAAGCAAACTAAAGCTTGTGTTATGGATACTAGACAACATATAAACAAACATATACATTTATAGACACAGAACAAATTATCATGTTCATTACACAAACATTTGTCCTCGGTGGGAATCGAACCCACGACCTCTGGATTAGCAGTCAGGATTACTAACCACTACGCCACGACGCCACTATTCTAAAAAGGCCTTAAAAAAGCCTAGGCCTAAAAAAAGCCTCAAGCCCTTTTTTAGTGAGCCATTTTAGAACTACTGTTTTGTGAGTCCGCCTTTAAAAAAGACTCGCAAGCTTTAAATTTAGGGCTACAGGGCTTGAGCCTTTTTGACGGCTAGCAAAAGCCATAAATACAATTAGCCTCGAGGGCTTGAGAGTTATTTAGCTTTTTAGCCTTCTAGCCATCGCTATAAAGCGGCGAGTCTTAAAAAAGGGCTAAAAGGCTCGAGCCTTTTCGACCACTAGCATACCTACATACCAACCATATTTGTATTGCAAAAACGAGCGATTCGTTTTGTCTACTGTAAAGCGGCCCATTCCTAGCTGCATGGCAGTGCGTCGAGTGGGTAGGAGACTGCTCACACACTACCCTGCGCTTAGATCCTGCGTATGGCCTACGTATGCAGTCTTGCAGGACGCATTGCAGGTTTGCAGGATGGCTTGCACGCTGCGACTACATTCATAATCCTGCATTACGCGGCGAGTGGTAAGGCGGACTGCAATGCAGGATAATGAATGCCCACTTTTAGGTTCTCGGGTTTCTCGCAGAGAAAAGTTTATGGAGACTCGTATCATGAATATGGCATCACAGTAAATTTATTCAAATATTTTATATACCCGTAAAAATACACATAATTTTATTAAGAAAGAAGATATCCATATTATTAACCTTAGGGCCAAGTCCAAACTCAAGGTGCCACGATTTCGTTTAACCAAGGTAAACGACTGGTTTATGGGAAACTGTATATGTTTTTACAATAAGATTCAGGAGTATATATTATGATTATAATTTCCTAAGTTTAAAAACTACTTTAAAAATATGTAAATTGGAAAGTCATATTCCAAAATTGAAGACTACGTGTTAGATAAAGATGTATGGAAAGACGACATGACTCTAGGTTCCACACAAATTTGATTCAAAGTGTATTTTAACATTTAAGTTTATTTGAAATGAGCAATCCCTAGTTTCTCGCTCGTTCTTCTCAGGGAAGTCAGCATGAACGAATAGTACCTACCTTAAAAGTGACGTTTTGTTGTAAATTTATTTTACCCATGGTATAAATGATTCTTTGACTTCGACTTTGGCCAGAAGGGGCAAGGCAGTACAACGCTTAGAGAAACGATATTTATTCGAGGCATGGTATAGAGGCTGGATGATAGATACTTTCAAAGAGAAGCACTACCGCTTGATTCAAGAGTCTATCTACGCAAGCCATGGTTTAGCAAGACGAAATTAGACAAAAAAACTACCGCCATTATTTATAGCCCGACTTGATCACGTGACAACTCCAGCGCACCTGTTTAAACTTAAAATCGTACCTGACCCTGCGTGCTCTCATTCCCCACCTCCAACAAGTTTATTGTATTTAACTGCCTCTGTGGCCGAACGGTTACCATGCCGGACTGCCACGCAGAGGTTCCAGGTTCGATTCCCGGGCCGGGAGAAATATTTGTATGACCTACATTTGTTTCTCTCGTGAGTTTGGGTGTAATTTGTGGTTGTCTATATGTGTGTCCATGGCACCCGCGACACAGGGTTTCCCTAGTGCGGGGCTATGTTGAGTGTGTTATTAAAAAAAAAAATTCTTGTAATAAAGATGTTGATGATAAAGATGATGTTATATATAATATACTGACCTTATTTATCGAAAACATATATGAAGCTTTAATATGTAGCCGATATATTATAATAACTACCCACCTACTCAACCTACCATATTATTATCCTTTTTAGACAATCTGTAATTCTGCTTTCCCAACCCTTTCATTGGCTAAATGCGAAGGCAAAGCCATTAATATAAAAAAAAGAAACTAAACGTCAAATTATCACTGTCAAGTGACATATTCTATTTGAAGTCTTATAGGGTGGAAAAAAAACTGTAAACAACAACCTTGTTACTGAGTGATACGGCCCATTTACGGAGTACACAAGTTATCATTTTCCTGCATGTGTAGTTCACTGATAATAATAATAATATGATAGTGATAAACTTTACACTTTATAAATACCCGATAAATATTACTTATCAGTTAGAGTACATACCGGTTGTTGGCACGACTTGAAACTTTGAATCGTAAGTTTATTTAAAAAATATTTATTATAATTAGTAATGCCTGTATGAATTTGCTAGGTTTGAAGTAAATGTTCCCAACCTCATTTTGGCGAAATCGTAGCGCAAACAGACGGAGCCATAGATACAAAAGTTGAAGTTGAAGTTGATTTTCGAAGTATTTTAAGCTAGACAATTACAATTTATCTTAATACCGTAGTACTTACTTATTTTCTGCCCACCTAATTTAGGTTTTAAGTGAACACTTAGAAATGGGAGGTAGTTGTTTGCTACAATGAATAAGTAAGTATTTTAAACGCAGAGTGTTACCTATGTTGCATTAATTTTTATTACCTACAGTAATGTGAGAAGTACAAACTTTCGGTTTTGAAGGGTGATTCTGATGAAACTACAGACACATGCACTTGTTAACTTTTATGTCTCTCAGGGTGATGGGCGCAGTGCCTCTCAGATCTTTCGAGAAGCTCTGAGGAGTGGCTCTAGTGTTATGTGGGTAGGCGTGTCGCCTACCAACAAGTGCACAATTTTTGTCCAATTGACATCATAAAAAACCTATCTACTGATAATGCACACGCACACACTCAACATAGCCCCTCACAAGGGAAACCTTGTGTCACGGGTGCCATGTATACACACACATAGCCAACCACAAATTACACCCATACTCATGAGAACAATAAATGTAGGTTATACAAATATTTCTCCCAGCCTGGAAATCGAACCTGGGACCTCTGCGTGGCAGTCCAGCATGGTGACCATTTGGCAACTGATAGTTGATACTATTTATTTATTTATTTATTTATTTCATAAAATTACACAGTACTTACAGTATTACTATACAATGCAATAAACATTTTATTACATGTTGTTTAATTTTTAAACCTTTTTGTTGTTGTTATTGAAAAACATTTACATATATTCCTTTACTTGTATTACTATCACATGCTTAATCTTTTAATTACAATTGAATTATTGGTCTACTCTAGAAAATGTGTAATCCACCTTATTATTATTATTGGGGTGGCTTCATTTGGGGCATATGCAGCCCCTCATCACTGCAACCATCAACTGATCTATTGTGATTACCACTAATTACAGTTCAGAGCCAAGGCCCACAGCATTGAAGAACTGAAGGAATTTTCTGGCTCTGACAGACTTTTTGTCCTCTGGTTGTAGCATGTGCCTTTCCAGTATGGAGCTTCGCTTGCCCACCAGGGGGGTAGCATTAGGTGAGGAGATGAACAGAAGTTTCATCTGCCTCATGGCAGAATCTACTTTATTCTCCCTCTCAGATAGTCAAGCGTCTCCACACGCACTAGCCTCAGTCATCCATACATCGAGGATTGTAGAGAACTGTGTAAATATACGGAACACTATCGGGGAAAGTAATACAGTGGTATTGCGCTGGGTTCCACGCCACTCTGACATCGAGGGTAATGAGTCAGCCTTATAATCCATATATTAACTGTTAAATACTGACTATTTAATTCTATGTTTTTCAGAGAAATGGCAGAACTAATTCTTAATTTTGATGACCGGAATGAAGATGTGGAACTTGCAAAGGTAAGATTTCAGTAATGAAATGTTAAATGATATCAAACAAGTGTAATTTTAAACCGATTTTGATTATTCTATTCTAAAAACTAAGTACTTGTACCCGTTTACCAAGATTTTAAATTAGGAAGTACAGGAAGCAAAATTAATAAGTCAGCATTTTAGCTTGTGGAGTTTTGTAGTCTGGTGTGCAGTCTCCAATGACGATTTTAGTAGCCATAGATAGAGCTCCTTGTGAAAAATTATTTCATGAAAGTACTGCCACCTCACCTATTTCTGCCGCCACGCAGTCATACGAGCACTACTGCGTTCCGGTGTGGAAGTGTTAAGGGTGTTGATGTAGTAGGAATCTTTGCGATTTAAAATTTCACGTGGCACTGAAACTTTTTTTAAAATATCAAGTGACAGGACGATCAAGTCGTGCGCCTGGTGGTAAGGGACACGCCTATTCATAACAGTGGCAGTGCCACTAGATGTGCTATGGACAGGCGTGTCGCTTACCACCAGGTAACACGACTTGTTCGTCCCATCACTTGGTATCATAAACAAAATACGAGACAAACGTGATTTTTGTGTGGAAAAGACTATTTTTTTTTTTAATTTTTTATTTTACTATTACAGGAGTATTTGAAAAACAATGCTTCCGCAATTCCGACAGGATATGTAGACTACGATGATCCACCACATAAAGACTTTGAGAAATACACATTACAATTCAAGAACTTGGCACAGAAACTTGAGGAGAATGCAGAGCTGTTCTCCCAGCTCGAATATCATTTAAGGAAGATTCCGAAGCGTGAAGTTGTGCAGACTGATATTAGTTTGCTTGTTCAAAATTTTTTGTTCTGGAGTTCAAACACCAAATTCTACAATTCTTCAAGTAAGTATCATGTTTTTTTAAATGACCAAACATAGACCAGTGTACTGTGTCAACCTATATTTTGTTTGTCATGGGTCTTTCTAAGGAGAGGGTTAGTAGGTGCTGTACTAGAGTTAATTAAACCTCACATTAGTGACAGTCTCAGATTAGTTGCCCATGAGTTTACTAGTGTTGAGTTACTCATACACGAGGCAACTCGTTTGTACCACTCACTTGGTTAGTTTGTCACAACACCTCATGTCATAAAAATGTTCCACCTAACACCTCACCTCATGTTACAACCTCAGTCATGTCACACTGCTTCGAATTCAACAATGCAACAATTGTTGGTCCTGCACTGCCCGCTTTTTAGCTGATTGTACATCATATGATCATTACTATCATAGTACTAAATAAAATTTATTTATACTGCATCATAACACTTAAGTTATCCAATTGATTGATACCATCAAGTTATGAAAATGTGCTTAATATTCCCTGTCTGTGGAGTCATTGCCATAGGTGCAAACATTCTTACCACTACCTCACCTCATTTGATGTTCTTCTACATTGTACCGCCTCATTTTTTCATATGAGGTACTCTCTCGAACTCATTTTAATTTCATGTCCTAACCAACTCTACAGTTTACTATGACAGTTGTCGCTAGCGATCGCGTAAATTACTTCACAATTTTGTATGGCAAATTATACAGCGCCCCTAGCGGTCACATGAAAAATCAACATTTTGTATACAAACATTTTACGCGGCCGCTAGCGATAATGTAATCTCATGGTAGAGGCACTGATAGCCTCATCCTATTTAGACTTCAACTAGGCTGGTGAAATTACAGGCACAAGGGACTTGTCAATTTATGACGCAGGGCGCGCACTGTGCGCGCAGTGGCGATGCCCCTCAGTTTGTGATTTAACTGCAACTGTTATGGACAGACGTATCGTTTACAATCCGGCGCACGATTTGTTCGTCCTGTCTTAGTATTATAAAAAAAACTAATTTAGAAAAGTTCGTTTTCCAAGGGAGTCATCACACCTATCGACGCGGTATGAGTTGGTTAGAAAAAGCTTTATGGCAATGTATTAAGAGCGATAAAGATTTTGTGCGTTTCATATCTTTCATATATTAACTGCCTCCGTGGCCGAACGGTTACCATGCCGGACTGCCACGCAGAGGTCCCAGGTTCGATTCCCGGGCCGGGAGAAATGTTTGTATGGTTTACATTTATTTCTCTCGTGAGTTTGGGTGTAATTTGTGGTTGTCTATGTGTGTGTCCATGGCACCCGCGACACAGGGTTTCCCTAGTGCGGGGCTATGTTGAGTGTGTGCGTTATATTATATCGGCGGTCCGGGCAACTACATAATACGGTCCCAATTTTGTTTTTATTATAATAATTTAGACGGAAATAATAATTACATAGATTCGTACAGAATTTGACGTACTGTGTTGTGAAAATTGTAAGCTACGCCCATCTGTGTTGTAAGGGGATCATAATGGTTTTCAGCACTTCGAACGCCGACTCACGTCAAAACGTTCTATGTACGGACGGCAGCATAACAAGCCACACATTGCCTGATCGTAATCCGTCGCTCCGGAGGCGGTATTCGAATAAAATGTATAACTTTGATGTGCTGTGTTGACTGTACATTACCTTCCTTAAAGTGCTTAGGTGAGTCGATGGATAAATCCCACTGACAGTGGATCGAATAGATCAAATCGTAATGCAAATTCCCTCGAAAAGTATGAGTTAAGGTAGTTTTCCACCGGCGAGGCGTGGCGAGTTAACTCGAGTTCATAAAAAAGTAGCTCCAGTTGACTCGTGGGAGTAACTCGAGTTAATCGAGTTAAATAACTCGACTCGCCTATACCTTAATTCCTATCAAAAATTGCCATTAATAGCTCGCGCTAGCCATTGCAAGCTCGCGCTGTGTTACAATGGGGCATACGATTATTGGTTGTATTCAAACAGTAAACGTATTTATGAGCAAATTTTGCACATTTTCTGACACGTATAAGCAGTGAATAAGCAGCTTTCGGCGCGAGTTTAGTGTGTAAATCTATAGAAGATAGGTCTAATAATACGTCTGTAGTGATTCCTAGACTGGATCGACTAAGACGATGGAGCACTAAAGGTATGGTCCGATACAAAAAATACACATTTTATTTTTTTCCTACTAAACTATTAGTTTTGGGCAAAATGTGAAATGGCAATATTTATTTAGGACAATAGGATCTCACGATTAGCATTTTTTTAGAGAGGTATCGTAAAAAATCCAATGTCTGCAATATCGCTGATCCGACCTGCCTGTCCCCAATTACGTCAATTTTTAATGTACTTAGGTGATTTCCCGAATCCCGAACAGGTCCTGAACCTAAAAAATGGTGTCGTAAGAAAGACTCCATATGTTCTTCTGAGACTATGTTCCTCGAAGTTTAGGTAAAAAAACTCTATCTATTCCGATTCCAGTTAATTACTGAATGTTAGTTTATTTAAACTTATTTGAGAGACGAACGTATTTAGTTTTAGAGTTTCGTTTTCCAAAGGTTTGAAAATTCAAAGCCACGAAACAACAAAGTTTCCTTCACCTTAACCGAGTTGCAAGCGTGCAATTTCTACGGGGACACAATTTTTTAAAAATTATTTAGTGAACTTTTTTTATGGGACGATCAAGTCCTACGCTCGGTTGTAAGCGACACGCCTGTCCGTAGCAGTTGCAGTGTCACTCTGAGTATCGACTGTATAACCAGAAATAGAGAAGAAAAAAGGGCCATCCATCACTGGCAACTCATCAAGGAAATGGACATTATATCATTTTTAAATATCAATTCTCCTTTGCCCTGAAATCACAAATTAGAAAGCTGAAATAGTACAGCGCCAACAACTGACCTGTTTGTACGTCTCCGTATATTCCAAAAATATTCTGTATTTATTGCACGACGGGTCTAATACAAAAACCACGAAAAAAAGTCCCAAGTCAACCTATTTAAACGTAGTGACACGTAAAGGAATATGAAAAAGCTAAAACGTTGAATTTAAATTGTAATGTCATCGCAGTACTGTCTAATTTTGCTTGCTTCGCTGTCAGTCGAACAAACGAAGACTAGAGCGTGAATGACGCTCTGTATACGATTTTAACGCCCTATAAGTTCGGACACTTTTTAGCGCGGACCCGACGTCCATATAATTGTAAGTCAATGATTTATTGTAATAAAGATAATATCTCTAACAATGCCGTGCTGTTCTATTCGGTGGTGTGGGAAAAACAGCAAAACATCTAATTACAAAACAAACGGAATCACATTTCATCGGTAATTAAATATGAAGTATGTAATTTTTCAAGTTAAACTGGTCAATTTGAACTGAAACAGTTGACGACTCCCGTCAATTGTTTCGAATTCGGGCTGGCCAATTGGAGCCCAGTTGCCACCGTAATGATTTAGCAGAATAGTTTTCAAACAAATCAAATGACACTTCGTCTCTATTTCTGTTTATATACTCGATGTCTGCGGGGCATTGCCACCCTGCGACTTACTGCGGCCGTCACCCTGAGACTAAAACTTTACAAGTTTACAAGTCTCCGTGTCTGTAATTTCACCAGCACCGTAACCCTTCAAAACCGGAACGCTGTAATGCTCACATTACTGCTTGGCGGCAGAAATAGGACAGGTGGCAGTGCTTCCATGGACGACCTCTTTCACATGGAGCTCTACTACTGGTAAAACTCGCTTGAGCTGAAGTCAGGTCGCAGGTTTTTGTCACACCCCGCATGGAATGTCATGTGCCATGGTCGTTATTGTAGGGTTTGTCAAGAACTGTAAATTTATGGTGGAAAACTTGTTAATTATAGTTTGGTTAATTATGATTTTTTATCCGATACATTTCGGGGAGTGTGCGCAGGAACTTTTCAATTTAGTTCCACCCTCACCGTTCCTCCTTTGGTCGACTAGAAGGTCCGGAGCACTCCATTTATCTCGTTGATATTCCACCAATTCGCACTAAGCGCTTTGCTTCCTCCTTTCTGATGCGTACGGCAAAGGAATGGAATACTATCTGTGTTTTCCAAAAAATACAATTTAGGGCTATTCAAAGCTAGAGTGAATAGGTATTTTTTTAGGCAAACGGGTCCCATCGTCGCTTAACATCAAGTGAGATTGTGGCCAAGCGTGTGTGTATTATATAGGTAATATATTTTTTTAAAGTAGAAATTGCTATTAAGTTGACCTCCTGAGAAAGTGTAATCCTTCCTTTTTTCATTGGTGATGCCTTATTATAATAATTTTTGGCAGATACACCGGTAACAGTGGGCGCCAGAAGCCCCCTGGCAACGTTGGGTCTGGTCGCGCCGTTGCTTCAATACAAGCGCTACGTTGTGATTACGTGCGTACCCACCACTGCCGCAGTATGCTACTTGTTCTGTCAGCTTTGTGATGAAGTTGGGTAAGTGTTCCTAAATATTGAATTGAAGACTGATAAGTTTTATTTATGCGTGTGTGTACGCATGTAAGTATGTATAGAGAGAGAGAGAGAGAGAGAAAGGGAGATTTAGGTCTTTATTACCTAAGATCTTAAATCAACTGTTTTCTTTCGACTTGCTTGATGTTTGCTAGGTTGACAGTTTTTTCGCCAATCATCAATATTAAATGCTAATAATTAAATTGTTACTAAACCACTACGCGTGCATAATTAGATATCTTATCCGCATTCTACAGGATATACCACGGAAAGTGTGCGATGGAATTGCATAATTTGATTCCGCCTTCTCCTTTCCATCATCGGGGAACTAGACGTGGGTTGGGGTTCCACCCTTATGTTGTGGATATTCCCCGGGTTCACCCAAAGCGTTTCGCTTCCACATTTGTGAGTGGAATTCCCTGCCTGCAGGCTTGTTCCCCCAACGCTATAACTTGGACCTTTTCAAGGCGAGAGTGAATAGGCATTATTTAGGTGTGCATGTTACATAGTCGACCTCATCGTCACTTTCTATCAGGTGTTGTGGAGGTCAATTGCACACTTATTTTTACTTTTATTCCCGGGCCGGGAGAAATATTTGTACGGCCTACACTTATTTCTCTCGTGAGTTCGGGTGTGATTTGTGGTTGTCTATGTGTGTGTCCATGGCACCCGCGATACAGGGTTTCCCTAGTGCGGGGCTATGTTGAGTGTGTGCGTTATTATTATTTTCGTAAAATTGTTGCGATATCTATTTCCTTGTAAATACAACGTAAATTACGTTGTAGTGCTTGTGATTTGGCGAATTTGCCATCGACATATAGAAACAAATATATTGCGTATAGATTGTTACACATGATTGTTACGCACAAACAAACCAACGTTTCGGATCCTTTACAGCTCCCATGGTTGCGGTTGACTCATGGGACCTGTAAAACGTCGGTTTGATTGGAAGAAAACAAATATACGCGATTTAAATCCGGAAAAATAGTTTCATTTCCTAAATATATAGCGTTTTATAGAAACCGTATATTTTATTTAAAAAATTAGCTGTTTTCTCACATTGTATTGCAAAACGTCTTGTGTGTACACGGGCGTTAAGGCATTGCAAAATCATGACGCTTAGGGCGCCTTCAAATTTGCGTTTGTAGAAGCGCTGCTGAGGCGCGGTAGCTGCGCGTCTGTGGCGCTTCCGTATAGATATGGTATAAACGGCTGTTTGTCAATAATTAATTATGCGATTTTTCTAGAACTGTTATTGTAAACTGTTGTCAGGTAACCTGTTGCGACAATGATAGCGAGTGAATATTGTGTAGTGTTGCCAGATGGTCATATTTCTTACAAATTTTGTAACTTTTGATCTTTTCGCGTAATATGTAAGTAATTTTTGTTTTTGAGGAAATTTTCGTAAGTTTTGACGAAATCAATCAGTTACTGGTTATAGCTTCATTTTTTTTGGCCATACTTACTTTTTATTTTTAGGATTTATGCATATATATCCTACTACATCTGTTACACTCAGAATTTTTAATTAAAAAACGAAGCTGTAAAATTAAACTTGCACACAAAAATGTAACTTTTCAGGTAACGAAATGTAATTTTTGACTCAAGGGCTCTGGCATCACCACGACAACACTGTTGTGAAACCTATTGTTTGTGTTTAAGTCGCGGATAACGGCGTTAATCTGCTACTGTTATAAAGCTATTGTTATCAATAACCATTAACTATTTATTGGCCAAAATAAAATGGCTGTTTTCGGCACCAGTTGTATTTAAATTGATTGATATTAACTGCCTGTCGTTTCATTTCATTAAGCACAAAACCACAGTTTCTGGTATGTGACTAGTAACATTAAGATAATAGATAACAGTAAAATACAAAATGAGAAAGATAACTTTATGTTGTGCACTGAAAGATTATAATCGTAAGATTTGCAAATCGTAGCATCGCAATCACTCGATAAGCGCCATTTCTCTCTCACCACTGCATATTGGATATTGCATACTTCCTTTTTCTCGCGACGCAATCGCAGAATGGCAGTATAGCAACAACGGCTTAGACAGTTGTTCGATAGTATATCCAAAGAATTCTTTAAATTGCCTCTACAAAATCCGCAAATCAACAGATATATATATGTATATATATATATATTTATATATATATATATTTATAAGTTATATTCTGTCCTTTTTGATATTATTATTATAATATATGTTTCAGTTTAATAGTAAATCCTTTATCTTTTTTAAAGTTCATGAAACAAATTGGGTTGAAGTCATGCAATTGAAATATTTGTTTCGGTGGATGGAACGAAAGTCCGTAGATTTGTTATTAATTTTCTTACGTGAAGTGAAAAATCCGTAGAACTACGGATAAATATGTAGATCTGGCATCACTTCATACTCCGTATGACTCGTGCAGTCTTAGGGCGGTTTTTTTATCTACGCTTCCGCATGACACGCGGACAATAAGGGAGTCACCACACTTATCGACCCGGAATCTCATTTAGCCGGTCAGAAAGTCCATGCAATAAGAGCGAAAAAGATATTGTGCGTCTCGCGTTGTCGGTCCGAGCGGAAGCGAATCAAGCAACGTCTTTTTTGGCCTTATTGTGACATTGTAGCGGTGGAGTTTTTGATTTTATTTATTAAAACTAATATAAATGACTATTTTCTACTTTCTTTCAGATTAAAATCGGACCTTATTAAGTTAAATATTTGCGAAAATCTTGACATAAGCGGTGATGTGGTCAAATGGCAAGGTTAGTTGTAAAACTGTTAGTGCAAATGCTTTAAGTATTATTGGTGGCGGAGGGCTCACAATTGAAATAGGTAAGTCGATGTAGGCGGCACACAGCTAAAGCTCGTCAAGTAATAATTTAAATTACAGTGAACTTGTATCTTAACTAAATTGCAAACGTTTTAAACCAAATTTGAGTTTAATATCAATTGAATAAAGACATTTTTCGATAGGTTGCCATTCAATAATATTAACAAAAAAAAAAAACTACAAAAATTTAAAAAGAACTGCGAGATGCAAGTGTCTCGCAGACTACCCTTGTTCTTGCTCAAATGTTGCAAGGCCAAGACTGATTTTGGGCAACACTACTAAAATTGCTCATTCAGCGTAGAGAATTATTCAAGCCAGCGTTATAATCTGATATCAACTGTACCTTAGTTGATTGAGATCCTTTGCAGACGCCACCCACGTACATGACAATATATAGCACGTTCAGAGCAATACCGTCACTAAAAGATAATCTCGCTTTTTCAAATTTAAACTTATTTTCATAAACTACCGAAAATAACTTTTTTGCGTTACGGAATTCATTTCAAAATATATGTACATGTGAAATGTATGTATAATGAATAGGGTCTGTTTGTTTATGTTTTTAATCTTTTTCATTTAAATAGTACTTATTTGCTTGTCTTTTCCTTATGTCTGATTATATATTTTCTTTGTTTAAAGGTAAAACCACATAAGTGACATTTTCTACAAAAACTCTTTAATTTATATAGCTATGGTAAGAATCTTTCTGCACGTGAAACTCAATAACAAAAAAAGCTATAAACTCAATAAGAGTTTTATCTGTAGAAAGATGGTCATTTTCTTACGACAGGTACATAATTTGGAGATATTTTTGTGGAATATGTCACTTATCTGGTTTTATCTTTAAGCAGACGATTTGTCTTGTGGCGTTGTAATAAAGGTTTTCTATTCCGTTGTATCATGTTGTATTCTAAATTAAGTAGCTGCCCACCCCTACTGGTTGAACATAGAACTAGATTGTTAATATATCGAAACATTGCAAGAGAATAAAACTTATCCCTTATCTAAAATAATTTGAAATTCAAATGTTTTATTGCATACATGTTGTAAAATATAGGTCTTAAATTAGTACATACAGTATCAAACATGAATCTTGTAAGGGCACAATAATGTAAATTTTTAAGTACATTCTAAATATATCCAAAGTTGTGTTACATTTATTATATTTCATTTAAAATTGGATAAATTAAAAATATAGAAATTATTACAAATAGTCAAAAGTGCAAATAAGTAAAATTATTTTATTAAACTATATTATTTTAAATTAGCTAAATAAAAATATAAAGATTATTACAAATTGTCAATGTAAGATTAAATAGTGTATTTTTCTGTAGATGGAAGCGCTGTTTATGGCGCTGGAATCATCACGCAGCGGTCTGATCTGGATTCGGCAGTCCACGCATTTCTCGGGTCTACCACAAAGGTATTTATTTTATTTTGCTGCCCTTGTAGCGTGAAAGTACAGACTTCTTATCATATTTATCCGTTCCCAGGCAACGCTCTTAATTTTCCTGATTCCTGAAAGAGTTCCAAAGTGAGTAGTTATACATTTACTATTCACTACTATTGTATATTTACTACTTACTTCTCGTCTGACTTCAAGACGAAAAGCCTATTCTATAACATTCATAGTTTCTCTGAACTTTGCTATTCACTTTTTCCAACGCTAATTGCGCTTTATTTGATCAATTTCATTTTCTGTACATATTTATTTCGTCTTAATTTTTTTTATTTGTCGACATTGCTATTAAAGTTTCACCATGGCAATTGATGTGCATACAATACTTGATTAGAGCCTTGCTTTTGTTTTTTCTTAGAACACGAAATTTTATGTGAATATTTTGTCAGCACGTATACTCTCTGTAGAAATTTTAATATACCTTGTATTCTCACTAAGTGAATTTGTTTTCTTTTGAGAAATAAATATCTTAGACCATAATAAACATTGATAGACAGATCTGTTATTCTTCTACAATCTATTCTGCCATAGACTATTCTATAAACTACTCTTTCCTCTGATATTTGCTATCTTGGCAGTACAGGGTTTCTGCTCTTATTCGATCACATTTTGGCGCCTTATTGCAAATTGAAATTCAAATTCCCCATTTGCCTGTCTCTGTCAATTCTTCGACATTTCAATACCGACCTTCGCATCATCTTGTCTTCGCCTAATCTAGATACACGGAGTCTCAGCATTTCGAGCCATAATTTTGGGCTTACTGCGTGTACCTACTTATTTACGTGTCTGCCTGATGTCAAGCTCCCCAACTTCATCTCGCTATATCTGCTCTTTACTTTTACACTCTTCCTGTTTGGACTGTGTACTTCACTGTGCTGGTGTGGATCGGCAACACACGTGCAACGAAAATAGATTATTTGTT